CATAAACCTCACCGCACGTGACCTTTATGTATGTATGTGTGTGTGTGTGTGTATGTATAATATATATATATATATATATATATATGTATGTATGTATGTAGGTATGTATGTATGTATATGTATATATGCTGCACATGGCAGAGCTGTGGCAAAAGCTCTTGAACTAGTGTACATATTTTCTATCTGGCTGAAAAAGTCACATGTAATTAAAAATAATTTAAAAGGGTTGTCTAGAGTCACTGAAACGGAGTGGGCAGCCATATACATTTTCTAAAAAAAAACAGAAGGAACAACAAAATATCAATCTTAGATGGTGTAGCGATACTGGCTAGAAACCAGGAGGTTATGAGTTCCAGTCCTCCCTTGGGCACAAAGCGATCTGAGTGATTTGGGGCCAGTCACGTCCTCTCAGCTCTAGGAAGGAGGCAATGGCAAACCACTTGTGGAAAACCTTACCAACAACTTGTCCAGGCAGTCTCTGAGAATCAATGAAAGGGAAGTAAAATTTTAAAACGACCTATCTCTGATGCTGGGGTCAGTAGAACCTGTGGCATTTCTAGCTTTGTTGTTTGGTTGGTCTTGAAGAACCCAATTTTGCCAGGATTGTCAGACAGTGATTCCTTGGCATTTATGTAAGCTTGTTCATCAGTGATGCTATTTCTCACCTTGTCCTCTTGGGTTGTTGTTTTTTTGCGTTCGATTTTCCCCCACAGGCTTTCCCAATGACCCTTCAGTTATCATTATGTGGCCAAAACATTTAAACAGAACCAGCACCTCTGGCTTAGCGTTTTGCCATTAATCGGGGAAGGGAGGGGGGAACAAATGAGCAATTTGCTGTAATACCTTTATGATGGGAAATTGGGAGGCGGGGATTTGACAGTTGAGGAAGAACATAGCCGTTTGGAATCTGTGTTGTGTGGGCACGCTGACCTCTTCAAGGCCGTTTGTCCCGAGAGTGGAATTTTACCAGCCCAAACACCTCAGCTTTAGTTCTGTATTGGCGCTCAGGAATTTTAGATTCTGCTTGACTCTCCTGCAATCTTAGTAAAAGTGCCTTTTCACTTCAAATGGAGTGGAGAGTTTTACTTCCCTAAGGGATCAGACTCGGATAGGTCTGACATGAACTTTTCTTTCATTTAGCAGTCTAATTGTACTTCATCTAGAATTATTTGGTTCTGAGGGGGTCCAAGGAATTCTCATGATTTTTTCCCCACCATATTGCAAAGGCCTTTTTCTTCATTTAGCTGCTCCTAAGGTTAAGCTTTTCCAGCCTTCTCCTATATGGACTTGATAGGGCATGTTCATATAAGAGCTGTAGAGGCACAGTGGTTAGAATGCAGGACTGCAGGCTACTTCTGTTGACTGCCAGCAGTTCGATCCTGACCAGCTCAAAATTGACTCATCTTTCCGAGGTTGGTAAAATTAGGAACCAGATTGTTAGGGCCTACAGGCTGACTCTGTAAACCACTTAGAGAGGGATGTAAAGCTCTGTGAAGTGGTATATAAGTAAGTGCTATTGCTAAATGCTATTCTTGTTGGCAAGAATAGCCTCTCTTCATTTTAATATTTACTCAAGTAATATCTGTTGTGCCTATAGGAACCATATTTGCACATTTTGAGCCTAGGTAGATAAAAGTCATGCCTTATCTTCAACACCATTTCTGCCCACTTGCAGTAGTTTGGCCCTTGCTAGTAATACTGTCTCTTTTAATATTGGCTATCCTGTTACCTTTGGCATTCTCTTCTTGGTTGTACACATATTTTAGCTAGATGTATTTCCTAATATGAATAATTCATGACGAAAATCCTATAGGTACAATTTGTGTTCCTATTTTTAGAATTAGATTTTATTTCATTCACCAGATCCAGAGGGAAATCAGTTGACACAAAGCAAGGATTCTTCTGTGACCACAAGAAAAGCTGTTAAAAGAACAATACCCAGATTAGATGCTCAAAGGTATGTAGTCATTTTTTACTCCCTGTATGGTGCATATCCTATTTTTATATGTATGCATGTAAAAATACGTACATACATACAGTGTGTGTGTGTGTGTGTGTGTGTGTGTGTGTGTGTGTGTGTGTGT